TAAAAGAGAAGACTGCCCATCCTTCTCCCATAGAGCAAGTGGTGGATTTAAACCACTTGTCTTTGGGGTGCACTGTAGCTTCACTCTCTATGATGTCCCCGAGACCATTTTTTAAAAGATTTGTAAAGAATAAACTGACTTTTCTCCTATATTTCTGTGTTTTAGTGTTGACTATTGAAGCAACCATGGTTTTCCATGTGTAAAAACGATTGCTTCACAGAGCGAATTGTCAACAAGGTGGAACGTCTACAGAGGAATAGTCATGACCATTAGCTTCACTCCAATCAATGACATTCCAGAGTCACACAGCATCTGGCCATCAAGAAACTGCTGCATCTGTGTCTTCCTGGGAAATACAGATGGACACCTTGCAACGGTAGGTCATCATCAAGTTATTAGTAAACATTAGTAAACCCTAATGTTTCATGAATACAAGCTTAAATAATGAGAGAAAAAGCACAAATTTGCTTAAAGCATACTTAGGACAAACATCTTGCCAAATATATAGCATTGTGAATCAGAGAGTAATAATTCTGGACATTTGCGTGAGCTATCCTTGCATGCAGACACTCTTAATCACAGATAGGATCAAGGTATGCTGATATCTGGGCTCCTTTGTCTATAGCCCCAAGTGGTTGATAAGTGTTTAAGCAGACAGTTAATCTCTAGGATTTTTTACCACTTATGAAAGAAGAGTACTAGTGGGTGGTTGTTGTGTACTGTTGAGCTGGAACTGGCCCATAGCTGAGCTTCCAGTGGGTTTTCAGAGACAGTTAATTGCATGGGAAGAGACTGTCCATCCTTCTCCCATAGAGCAGCTGGTGACCTCAAATCGTGTGCCTTTGGGATTGCAGCGCAGCTTCTTGCCACTAGGCCACCAAGAGCTCCCTAGTGGGTAAGGATGGAAAATATTGTGCTGGGGTAAAATCTCCAACATGTAGTGCATCAATCACAATTTAAAGAGCTTGTAAATCCCACAAATAGAGATCTGTGATCAGGAAACACAGAGAACTCCAGTTCCACTACATTCTACCTAGCTTCTTTCCTGGAGACAGGTGTCTGGCTTGGAAAAACATCCTGATTCTACATCTAATCCCAAGGCATGCATGCAAAAAAAGAATGCATTTCCTTCAGTTTTTGCTTTTCCTTTCAAGACAACTGGCTTAGTCTAATTTCAAAACGTTCAGAACCAAACACTGAAAGATAGGATGATTTCTGTGTATCTATTTACATATTCATATAAAGTTTTACATATGATACTGTTGATATTGTTGTTAGGTGCTGTCGGATAAGACTCATAGCAGCCTTATGAACAAGAGACTAGGGCCCTGTCCTGTCCTACGCCATTCAGAGGGTTTTCAGAGGCAGTTAATTGCATGGGAGGAGATTGCTGGTAGATTCAAACCATGTACTGCCTTCGGAATTGTAGAGCTGCTTCTTGCCCCAAGGCCACCAGAGCTGTGTGTGTGTGTGTGTGTGTGTGTTTATATTTATATACACTGACCAAATATGCTTTTAAATTTTATGACCAGAATCACAGGTGCTCTATTTTAAGTACATGAACACTATATTTTTTAACAGCATTTAAACTGAGAGGTTTTTTTAAAAACGATGTCAATTTTTCAGAGAACAATGCCAACAACATGAGGTTCTTCTAGAAGTGTGAAAGGCTGGGTACATAAAAGGTCAAGCCAACTAAAGAAAAAAAATATCCATTCTTGCCAAAGGGAAAGTGTGAGGGATGACGAACCACAATTACATTCAGAATGAAGAGACCGAGACTTGGCAGGACTTAGAGAATGGTAAATAATAACTGAGCAGAGTGAGGGATGTTGATTGCGACTGTTATCTGACAAAAACATAATGAATACTGATGTAAATCGTGAGGGAGTTCTGGTGGCTCAGTCTGCAGAATCGTACTGCTAACTGAAAGGCAGTGCCCCTCTCTGGTGGTTCGAATCCACCAGTAGCTCCACAGGAGAAAGATGGACAGTCTCTTCCTGTGTGATTTAGAGCCTCAGAAAACTCACTGAAGGTCAACTGTAAGTTGGTTGTGCCTCAAACGATTCAAGGGCAATGAGAAATGAGATGTAAATCTTGAGAGTAATAGATGTTGTCAACTTTCAGCTGTTCACAATTCATCTTCGTAGCCCCTTTCCTAATCTTGCTAGTCATGTCTGCACCTCTCAATTTGTGAAATCTCTTTCAGGTTCCACTCAGGATTTCTTTAGAAGGAATGAAGACTAAGTTATAACTTGGCAAGTTTTGGACTAAAAGTCCCTGTGTAGGTCAAGCACTTAACACTCAGCTACTGACCAAAAGACTGGTGGTTCAAGCCCACCCAGAGGTACTCTGGAGGAAAGACCTGCCAGTTCTTAACACTGCAGGTTACTTCCTACGTGTATTAACAAATGAGTAGGGGAATGTCATCAGTATTTTTTTCTTTCCATAGCTCATCTGCCAAGCACGGCAGTGGAGATACACAATTTAGGGACAGAACATAAATTCTACTTACATTTTTGTCATCATAAGTAACAAGTATTGGTAATTATATGTTTTCTTTTGTACATAATTGATGAGTATGTAGTAGTCATATGGACTCCATTTATCAATAAGTGTGTAGACTGTTATATGGTCATTAAAAAAAAGTAAACAAGTTGCTAGATTCTTAATCCATGCTGTTCCAAAAATAGCAAAAAGGGTTCACTGCAGACTAGAGATCTTACTATAAAGATTTCTTCAGATCAATCAGCCGAATAACAACAAAAATACACCCAACGCCACTGAGTTGATTCTAACTCACAGTGACCCTACTGGATAAAGTGGAACTGCCTCACAGTGTTTCCACAGGTGTGATCCTTACGGAAGTCGGCTGTCACATCTTATCCCCAAGGAATGACTGGTGTGTTCCAACTGATGACCTCTCAAGGAGGTGCTGCTCCCTGGTGGTCTAGTGGTTAGGATATGGCGCTCTCAAGGAATAGCTGCGCTGTTAACCACTGTGCCACCGGAACTCCTCTTCCATGTCTCTGTTGTTTTTGTTGATGGCCATCAAGTTGAGCACAACTCATAGCTGCCCTATGAACAAAAGACTAGAACTTTGTTATATAACTATCACCATGTCTCTAAGATCATAAAGCTTCCAGAGGCATGTTGTTTTAAGAAGTGGATGCCATTACTATTTTAGAAAACTAGTGTCTTGAAGTACCAGGAAATGCTTCAGGTTTAGCCAGAGACACAGATCATCCTGGGCTGCCTACATTAGTGGTCAGCCTATGGCCTGTTTTAGTTTAATTTCTTATCTCTCAGGGGAACTCTGGCCTTATAGTCCACAGGGAGTTGTGTAGTTAAACCCAAGGTTGCACTTCTCTGGTGGTTTGAATCCAGCAGAGGCTCTGAGGGAGGAAGGGGGGTAATCTTTTCTCATGAAATTTACAGTCTTGAAAAGCCAGCGGGACGCTAGCTGTGAGTTGGTTTCAATTTAACAGTAATGAATGATTTCCTCAGTGGGGAATTTGCATGCTAAACAGACCGTATCTGTTGAAACTTAACAAGTGAAGTGAGGGAAATTAATGAAATTGGAGAAAATAAGAGATACTACTGGCTTAGTACTATCAATTCTGCTTCTGAAATTACAATTAAATTACAAACAAAATGCATATAGTCTGGTGCAACCACTGTGAGTGGCAGTATGATGCTTTCTCAAAAAGTTGGAAATAGAAATACCATTTGACCCAGCAGAGTTCCACTACTGGGAACAGACCCCAAAGAAACCATTACTGCTACCCAGCAGATATATGCACACCCATGTTTACTGCAGCTTTGTTCACAATAGCAAAGAGCTGGGAACAACCCAATTGCCCATCAACAAACGAATGGATAGAAGAGCTCTGGTATATTCACACAATGGAATACTACACTTCATTGAAAAGCAAGGAACTCATGAAATATACAAAATGGGAGACCCTGGAGGATATCACGCTGAGTGAAATATCTTGATCACAGAGGGACAAATGCTGCACAGTGCCACTGTTGTAAGAGGGACTGACATCAGGATTGGGGGGAAACTAAGAGCGGATAAATGATGTATATTGCACTGAAATAGATAAGGGAGAGAACTGTTTAAGAGGAATATATGACTAGGTATTATTGCCATGACAAGAGTCCAGCGTGAAAGCTGCATAGTGAAGTGGACTGGGGGTGAGGGGGATGTGTGTAACATTGAAAGAAATTTTTTTTTACTTTTCAAAGAGGAAAGTGAACTGGGGGGAGGGGTGGTCAGGGAGGAAAGTGTGTAACAATGAATGAAATGAATGGAAATCCAAAGTCTCTGTAAACTTTCATTAAAATAAAAAAAAAGTTTAAAAAGTAAAAAATAAATGTGTATGGTCAAGTCTTTAACATACAAAGGTTATTTTAAAGGAACAGGACAACTTATTGAAGACAACTGAGGCCTGCTCACTTGGCTAATTTCAATCTCACCGCACCACATCCAGGAGCTGCTTTTACACTGACAGAGACATCACTTAATAGGACTAGGATCTTTAGGGAGTCCTCAGGTGGTATAAACAGTTTATGTGTGCACTTGTTAATGGAAAGGCCACCAGTTGGGAGTTCACCCAGAGGCCTGGTGGGAGTAGGGCCTGGTGATCTACTTCTGAAAACCAGTCACTGAAAATCCTACAGAGTGCAGCTTTCTACTCTGACATACATGGGGTCACCAGGAATGGGAATCCACTCCGTGGCAACTGGATTTTTTTTTTGTTAGATGGTCTTCAAGTCTATGCCCAAGAACCCTACAGCTTAAACTAAGCAAGGAAAAGCTAGGCAGATCATGAAGTCGTCCCAAATGGCCCAGGGCAGGCAGATTTCTCACAGACACCTGTTTTCCGAGTCCCTCCACACTGCTGAGTCCTTGAAAGCCTCGATGCATGCACACATACGAGACAAGTGTAAGGAAGAAAGTTATAGTTGGCTTAACAAATTATGTGGCGGGATACCTGGGATACTCTCTAATTTCCTTCTCAGCTCTTCGTTTTCTTGTTGCAGGGAAATAACTTCCTGTTCCAGCTCCTGGCACCGGGGACAATAGCCTTCCTCTTCTTCCTCCTCCTCCTCTTCCGGCAGTGTGGAAGAGGATGGGTGGCCATGGGACTCTGACGTTGCCGGGGAGGTCCAGCCGCCTAGTGTATGCACGGGGGAAGTGGACAGAGGATCCACATCAGCCAGGTGCCCGTACTCACTGACTGAGGAGGTGTTCGGAGTCGGGAAGCTCCCCGAGAGCAAGTAATTTTGTAGAGAGTCAGTGAAAACCCTCAAGAAGGCCGAAGTCTGTTGTTTCCTCTGCATATATTGCATTTCTACGTCTACATTGTCTGAGGTCTGGCTGTGGACTCCTTTCCCGATGTGGCACTGCTCCTGCCTGTCGCTGTAACTCGAGCCTTCCTGCTTTACGCAAGAAATCATGGATTGAGAATGATGGTTGGAGTCCAGGAGCTTCCCTCCACAATTTAGGAGGCTGAGAACTCGGCTGCACTGCTGGGCAAAGGCATCCAGGATCATGCGACTCTCTGAAAGAAATGAAAAGACACATCAGAGACAGCCAGCCATAGATGAGGGTACGAAGAGATCCTCACTTCTTACGAGGTTAACAGCTGAGAATGCGGAAACATGCATTTCCATCCTGTGATACACCCAAGTGACACTGTTCAGTCTACTGTCAATAGTTCTGCAGTGGGTAGGGTATCTGATGAGTCACCCCCACTCCCTCACTCTGGAAGTGGCTGGACGGAGCCCTGACTGACCCGCACAGGTCCACACTCGCCCCTCTGGCTTCATTAATATCCTTACTCTAATGAATTGAGCCAGCCACTGCAGACTCAATTCCTCATTGATAGGAGGACTTAGAGCAATCATTACTTCTATTTCTGGAGTGCCCTCATGCCCTTGCTATTAATCAGCTGATACAATCCCTGCTGAGAGTACCGTTGCTCCCAAATGCAAACTGGAGAAGAGAGAGATTTAAATCTTTTTGAGGAGTCTCTCAGGCGTCCAAGGTAACCAGCAGAGACCCTGTAAGTCAAAGGGTAGCCACAAAGTAACACTGTGTCATTCAACATCTTTGTTCCATTATCCCTCTAACTTAATTTTCATTTATCTGCAAACTTGGAATGTTTAGGTTGATCTATAGCAGCATCATTAAATTGCCAAAGCTTCTCTATAAAGGTATGCAGTTGTGGGTGCTGAACTGAGTGCACATATGTGAATTCTAAAGCACACTGTCGATCAGAGAAACCTAAAAGGCAACAGGAAGTAACCAATTCATTGCCAATAAAACCCAACAAAAGCTCATAAAAGTGACAGGAGAATTCCACTCTGTCAGTAGAAGGGTCATATAAACTTCACACAGGAAGCGTGCAGACTGGTTGTTCATAGGGTCTCCATGAGTCATACTCGACCCAACAGCGTCTAATAACAACAACAACTGAACATCATAAAGTAGATTCTCTGCTTTGCTAGACATGATCCAGAATTATCGTTGTTGGGGGATATTGGGTGTTTTTTTTTACCCATTTTTTTAAAGTTTATAAATCATATTGGTTCTCATTCAATTATTCAGACATTTGGTTTTATAATATTAATTACAACTGAATAATGCACTTTAGTTATAATGTCTCATCAAACCCTTATTACCTATTGCCTTTTCCTTCACCCAACTTTATAAATTTTTGCTCCCTTCTCTCTTCGTACTCATCCCTATGAACCTTGCACAATTATCTGTGGAAACCTTTCCTGGTCTTTTTCATAATTGACCCTTTGTGACTGGCTCATGTCTCTCATCATAATTTGTTCTAGTTTCAACACGTTGTATTGTATTTCACAAATTCCTATTCTGTAGTGATGCATAACACTGTGGAATAGACTTCTCATTTTGTTTCTCTTCTATTCAGACCAACCACAACAAATAATCTGGATTTTATGTTGTTTACCACTGAGTTGGAACCAACTAGCCCTTCACTGACCTTCCAGTAGGTTTTCATAGACAATTAATTTTATGAGAGGAGACTGCTCATCTTTTTCCCATAGAGCCACTGGTGGATTCAAATCATGTGCCTTTGGGCTGGCAGAGAAACTCTTTAGCATTTGTTGTTGTTGTTGCTGTTAGGTACCACAGAGTTGAGTATGACTCATAGTGACCCTATGAACAAAAGATCTGAACCCTGTTCTGTCCTATGTCATCCTCACACTTCCTGACACACAAGAGCCACTGCAGCAATCACTGTGTCAATACACCTGGTTGAGGGTCTTCCTTTCCTTCACTGACCCTCCACCCTTCCTAACATAATGTCCCTCTCCAAGGAACAGCACCTCCTAGCAATCACCTCATCGTTCTTGCCTCCAAAGAGTATTCCTGCTGTACCCTCTCCAAGACATATCTGTTCATTCTCTTGGCCATCAATGGGATGTTCAGTGCTCTTCAACACCACAGCTCAAAGGAGTCAATTCTTTTTCTGTCATTCTTATTTACTGTCCAGGTCTCGGATGCATAGCTAGTAATTAGAAAGACTATGGCCTGAATCAAATGACATCACTATTCTTCAATAATTTGGAGACGTCCCTAATTGCAGTTTTTCCCAGTCTCCTTATTTCCCGAGTGCTGGTACCAAGGGTGTTAATTGTGGATCCAAGCAAGATGAAGGTGTTGACAGTTTCAATCTCCTCTCCATCCGTCATGACACTGCCTATTGGTTCCAAGGGTAAGAATCTTTCTTTTCTTGATATTAAAACACAATCCATGCTGAAGGCTGCATTCCTTGATCTTCTGCAACCTCACTTTCAGCGAATAATGTTGTGTCGTCTGTATAATGCTAGTTATTGATGAGCCTCCCTCCAATCCTTATGCCACATTCACCAGGTATCAGTAATTACTTATGACAGAAAAGTAAATAGCTTCCTGTTTGTTTTGAAAATCTTGACTAGTTTTATTTTTCTGGGGGGAAAAATCTTTCAAAATAAAGAATGGTTCTATGGTTACAGGCTTCCAAGGGAACAAAGAGCCAGGAGAGTTGTACTAAGAATTACTGAGGAAATTCAGATTATATTGTAATGAAAGCACAATTCAGAAATCTCCATGCAGTACTCAATGTTCCATTGTGTTTCTTCCTAACTATTCTTTCCTGGTGCAACTGACGGACGAGGGGCTCCAGTTCTTCCTTCTTCACTATTTTATTAGGATAAACAGGCACACCTCATTTTGTTGTGTTTCCATTTATCACATAGTGCATGCTTTTTACAAATTGAAGGTTTGGGATAACCCTGTGAGATAATCTTTTAGAACCATTTGTCCAATAGCATGGGCTCACTTCCTACCTCTGTGTTAGATTTTGGTAATTCTCACACTATTTCAAACTTTATGCATAATGCTACTGCACACTTAGCAAATTACAGTGTAGTAGAAGCCTAACTTTCATATACATGGGGAAACCACAAAAACAAATTACATGACTTGCTTTATTGTGATACTTGTTTTTGAGCTGGTGTGGAATTGAACCTGCATTATCTGCCTTGTGTGCTCTTATAAAGTCCTTAAGTCATAGCCTGGCACATATGATAGGAGCACTCCACAGATCTCCCAAGCCTAAAGAATGCAACATCTTTAACCTCTCTCACCAAATCAGAACCCAGAAAGGCCAGTTCAGGAAAGGATGATCCTAGACCGAGGCCAGTGACCACTGACTGGGGTTTGAGTGCCAGCGCATTGCCTTAAGAGACACCCTGAATGCATGAGTGGACTCAGATCCGTAATGATTCCTAACTTTTAGCATTTGTGGATGTAATTGGCTAGGATGGTACGACTCTGCTGGGTAGGAGGGGAGTATTTTTCTCTATGGGATTGAACTTTTTCACTTCTAGGTTCAGTGCTCCCTTAGGAGGGAGTCCTGATGAGGAGCTGTGCTGGGTGCAGTTGCACTGCAAACCCAAAAGCTGTGCAGCTCTGCTGGTTTAATCCACTAGCGGTTCCTTGGGAGAAATGCCGGCCACCTCCTCCCATGGGATGATAGCCTCAGAAACCCAGCTAAGAGTTCGTTCTGACTCCCTGACGTGGGAAAATGAGGATCCCCCCCCCCAAGACTACCTCTCTCCATAGAGAGGTACGCAAGACACGCAAGAGATTCTCTGCTTAAACTACCTCTGTAATGGCTTCTTTGGGTGCAGTTTCTTCATGATGTCTGGGGAGAGCAGTTCATCTGTGTGTATGATGAAAGGCTCTTCCTGGTACAGGATGGGAAGTACTTGGAGTCAAATTAATAAAATTCTTGTCTCTCTTACGGGGATACCTGCTTTGCTTCCCTGTCAGTGTACTTTAAACACATCCACCAACCATCCACCAATGGAGAACTGCATTTTACGGTAATGCTGAACGAGTTTCAGTAACAGACCCAGGCTAAGCCCAGGAAGGAAGGCTTGGAGATCTAATTGTAAAAATCAGCTAGTGAAAACTCTACGGATCATAACTATCAAGAGTTGGAAGCTGACATGATGGTAGCTATCAAGAACAACCACCATGGGGGGTAGGGTTGGGAGGGGTGAAAAGTGCAACAATGAATGAATGGAAATCCAAAGTCTCTAAATGTTCATTGAAATTAATAAAAAAATTAAAAAAAAAAAAGAAAAACCATCTCATCTGGACCCTCCCGCGAGTTTTCAGAGACTGTAAACTGCACAGGAAGAGAATACCTGTCTTCCTCTGTCAGAGCAGTTGGTAGAATCGAACCACCTGCCTTTAGTTTGGTAGTACATCTCTTTACCCCAAGCCACCAGAGCTCCCTCATAGTAGTAACAGTGGAAAATAAAGCCAAGGTAAGGGAGGTTGTGACTAGCTTTGTTTTTTCCATTTCTGAACAATCTAAAAATGCAAGTTAAACCTGGTCTTCCGGGTCACTGGGAAGGTGTATTTGTCAGGGTAGGTGAGTAAAACAGATTTTATTTACAAGTTAGTTACTCACTGCTGTTGAACTGGAGCCGACAGCTGACCCTCCACCTGGTTTCCGAGGTTGTAAACAACAACCTAGTGAGATTACCCATCTTTTCCTAGCAGTGACACTGGTGGAATTGAACTCCACTATGGAGGTGTGGACTTCGGGCTAGCAGCAAAACAAAGGGCACAGGGACCTGCATTTGTACTTCTGTCTGGAATCCTACAACTGTGAAGAACTGAACAGTTTGCACACGAGTGGTTACATTACAAGATGCAAAAATAGTTTCAGGTTAGAAACATCCATGATTGATGGACACAGAACTCAGATGAAGAAGTAGCCATGATAAAGTCAACGTGTGGAAAAGGCTGAAAGAGGACATGGATGTGTGTAGAAACATTTACACATTGAAGACTGGCATTCACAGCCTCCCTCATGTAGTGGAAGGGGAGACAATGATTCAAATGAAAATTAAAAGGAAGAAGACTCAAAGTATTTGGCTTTTTTTTTTTAGTGTTTCAAACCAAATAAACAAGAAATAAAGCAGCTGACCTTTACAACTGTTGAGACTAAAGAAGCTACATTCTTATTTC